AGCTGGAAAGAGATGTATCATCAATAGGACTTTGTTAGCAATGCGGTTTCACTGAAAGACAAGGCATATGATTTTTTGTCTATGACATAATGTAAACATTAAAAGAAAGTGTAATGAACTTTAAGAGATCTGACTTTCAGAGTTCTTTGGGTTTATGTATCGATTTATTATATTTATGTACAAGAAAGAAGGAAGGAAGGTGCATAGAATAAATTAATATAACACTATTTTTTATACTACACTATTTTTCAGCATTAAGGCCTGTTCACACCAGCATGAGATTTCGGTGCGATTTTCGCATGCGATCAATGAAAAAAAAAGGGCAGAATGAAAATGCAATTTCACTCAGAAGTACAGCAAGGACAACAGTATAATATGCTATTTGTTTATCAAGATGATAATATACCCTATTTGTATTTTTTTTTATTGATTTTCTTATTTTTTTGTTTCAGTAAATATGACTGCTATTTGTTATAATTGCCTTAATTGTCATTATTGTTCAAAATTGTTCAGAAGCATTTACATGTTTTCAGACAGCCAGTAATGTTCTGAGTGACTGTCAGTACGTTTTTCCAGGAGCTTGAATCCCTGCAGCATTCGTCTGATGCATCACGAAAGTATTTCACAAAGTTCAGTGTTCCGATATTCTACAACGAGGCAACACCAGCAAAACTAAATGTAATCTGTACTAAAACAAAACAACGAACACCGATGAATGAGAGGCGGAAAAAAACACTCTTCCAAGTACCAGGATGACGGCTCCATATATAGACAGGTAGACATTAATCCTTCCATCCGTCTTTGGTCACTTGACCACACTTAATGGTCGCGGGGCTCTTGCAACACTGAAGAACAAGACCATACAACGAATATGAAGGAGTAAGTACAAGCCAGGGGAGAACAATAACAATAATTAACAATAAGATTTATTTACATTTATTAAGGAAGACAGAATAAACATTGCTTCCCTAATGTGGCAACGCTACAGCACCCTCACTGGGTTTAGATTTCCTCTTTGTGAGAAAATGTGAGGATTTTTACAATATTCTTTTATTTTAACTGGTATGGAACACCCCTATTAATTCAATTCTCAATGCATGTCCTGGCTCTGTGACTTGGGTGCTCTGGGAAGGCTGCTGGGTTTGGAGTTGTCTGGCTTGTATTTTTGGCAGACGCCACAGCTTGTTAGTAGACTACAGGTGAGTGATGGTATTGTCATTGATTTGGGCTTCTGAAATTTTGGCTAATGTGCACTTATGCACACTTAGGATGGTTGATGGAGAAACAGGGTGAAGCTTCTATTTTTAGAGGCATGAAGATTTGTAATAACGTGAAGCCTTCAAATTCCATCCTTTCCAGGTAATGGCTCCACTTTTCCATAGTCCACACCACTGCTAAACACTTTTCAGAGGTGGAATAATTCCACTCTGTTGCCCTTTTAACTTTAGGCTATTACCTTCTTTCCTTCCAGAGTGAGGATTGCTCCCAGTCCCATGTCACTAGCGTTCATGTGGACATGGAACGGTTGGAAAAACTTGGACTGGGCGAGGACCAGTGGATCTTGAAGATCCTGCTTGAGAGCATTCATACATAAGATATTCATGTACATTTATTTATAAAAACAAAGCAAATCTTTCCACTCAGTTCTGTAAGAACCTTTTCCAAAAGCCTCTGGAATATGACAGCAGCATTGCAGAGTCCATACGGCATAGACTTGAATTGGTATAGCTGTTTAATTGTTATAAATACTGTAACTTCCTTACTCATCTCATCAATGTCCACCTGCCAGTACCCTGATTGCAGATCCAGTGTACTGAACCAGAAGGCACCTTCTGTTGATTCAAGGATGTCAAGTATCAGTGGCATTGGGTACACATCAGTGATGGTCTTGCCATTGACTATTTGGTAGTCCATGCAGAACCTGTACGAACCATCAGGTTTGGGGACCACGGCCACAAGGGAGGACCATGGGAAAGAGAGAAGGCTCAGTGATGTTAATATTGTCTTTTAACACCTGGTCTACCTGTTCTTCAATGATTTTCTTTTTGATATTAAGTTTGGAATTTGATTGGCATGTCATTCCTTAGGATGATCTAGTGTCCTAGCCAAGCAATTATAGGTGATGTTAGGCAAGGTTGACGTCAATCTCTGTAACTCCTCCTAGTTGTCTGAATCACAGATTGGACCAACTTCTGAAGTCAGGGAAGCTAGATTTAGAAATAAGTCTACTGTAAAACAGCTCATGACAACAGTGTCATTATTCAGCACCAGTCAGTCCAGTGTTGATTCATTTTAGTTCAGTAACTGTGTAAAATGGAAAGGGTGGTAGATGTATCCTCTCGCTTTGTTTTCAGGCCATAGAGGCTGGTTCTGACATCCAGGATAGCACCTATGGTACCAAGGAAATCCAAGCCTTTGGGCAGGAGTGTCAGGTGATTGTCCTTCATAATGTATGTGTTCACCTAACAGTCTGTACCCCTGCCATGTGTAGATAATGGACTTGTGTCTGGCTTGTTAAACCTTTCCATCAGCCATAATAAATCTTTGTGGAAAAAGAGCAGTGACTAATGAAGGGTCCTCACCTAGCTGTCTCTATAGGTGCTATCAGTGTGCAACATTGCTTTTATTGCCTTTTCTTCCACCATAATGGGCACCAGGAGTAGTGTTGTGAAATCATGATGTTGGTCTTTTTGGAACAACTACGGTCAAATGGCTTCTTGTTTGTCTTCTCTATACTTTTTTGATTCCCCACCTCTTGTCAGTAGCCTTTCGCTCTTATGCAGTTCTTCTCCACCAAGGATTCAATTTTGAGCAATTCTCCCACTGTGGTCACTGAACCTCTTTGGGTGTCAGCAACCTTGGTGTTGATCTTATTGAGAATGCAGCTCACCAGTTCCTCCTCTGAGATATCAGGTTTCCACTTCAATCAGAAGGCCCAGTAGTCCATAGCAAATGCTCTCAGCTGCCAGCACCCTCAACTTATCCTCTACCTTCGTCAGGTTGTCATCTGGAAGAAAAGCAGCCATGAGAGCGTTTGAAAGATCTCAGATAGAAAGTGGCCTACGCATAATACCAAGTTGTAGCTCTGACTGTTTTTAAATAGTAATTTTGGCAGCCCCTGAAATGGCATTTACCTAAGCAGTTTAAGTAAATACGCTATAGCACTTATTCAAGGACGTGCTTTTCATTGCTTAAACAGAGCAAGAACCTGAAAAGTGTTCAACTACAAGTCTGTCTGATTTTCTTCATCTGACTATCCCATTTCTCATCGCTAGGAAGCAAACAATCTATGACCGCCCTCTCAAGTTTCTCCAGGAATTCTTCATCCTTGCTAAGCCAGTGATCCATGTCAAGCCACCATCCACAACTTCCCTAAGACTGGTTTCCTAGTTAAAAGTACTGTATTGACTGTCCTTTTCTATTTTTGTTCAAGTTCAAATTCAAATACTTTATTGTCGTTCTTGCCTTTCAACAAGTGTCCAGCAGAACGAAATTGCAATTTCTCAGAGCCCAATGCTTAATGTGCATAATAGTGCAAACATAATAAAAAAAATATATATATATATACATCACAACAACAAATAACATCATATACATTACTATACATCTTAAGGTAGTGCAAAAATTGATGCATTGCACATGATTACACTATGAGTGTATAATCAATACTGCTCAAAAATGTCAGAACAGAAGAAATCACATATATGATTCAACCAATCTGTACATATATAACAGCAGTCCATCAGGTAGCAGCATAGGG